AAAAGTAATTAACTAGTAAAATGTTTATCAGGATATTAGCAACATTTTACTAGTTAACCACTTTTTGATATCTTTCAAAAGAAGTGAGATATATAGGCTCAAAGTGGACGATCCGGGTGTCGTTCTATTAGAGGTTTTACGGTATATCTGAAAATGATATTTTCAACTCAACAAATTTATTTTTTTTAAAAGACTATTTTGTGTCAATTCAGGTCATTTTAAAATAATTTTTGAAAATTTCATAAAATTGCTATTTCAAAAATTTGGGAAATTTTCCGTTGACATTTCAAAAATATTAAAACGCATCACGCAATGAATATGGTTCAATAATCCAAATGTAGCTTGTAAATTATTTTAGGATTAGCTTAAATTAACAGAAAATTGATCTGAAAATGTTTCTAGAACAGAAATTGCTCGAAAATCGCTGTTTCAAAAGTTATCATAACTTTTGAAACAGCGATATTTTCAATTTTCAGCCTCTATCAATCAATTTGAGCTGTTTTTGCGACTATTTTGCTTCAATTTAAGCCATTTTTGTCACTTTTAACAATTTTCGTGTTATTTTGGCATATTTTCATTTGTTTTCCGTAATTTTTTCCGAAAACATTTTAAGATCAATTTTTAGTTAATTTATGCTAATTTCAGATTATTTTCAGAGCTAATTTTAGAAAAACTAAGTTTATGTCTAGCCGTTATGATACTAAGCACATCAATGACTTCAAAATTGACATGGAAAGTTTTTCAAAAAATTTTGAAACAACAATTTTATAGAAATTTTTAAAACTAATATCCTATAATTCTATTCAATTTCAAATTGTTTCTAGTCATTTTGAAACGCTTTTCCTGACAATTTAAAATTACTTCTAGTCAATTTGACTAACTTTTCGTTATATCCAATTCCTAGTTTGAACTCTTTACTTCTTTAAGAATACCGAAAAAACACTCTATTAGAAGGCCACCCGGACCGTCCACTTTGGGCCTATATATCTCATTTCTTTTGGAAGATATCAAAAAGTTGTCAATTAATGAAATGTTTATCATATTATCAGTAATATTGTATCAGTTAACCACTTTTCAATATCTTTGACAGAAAATGAGATAAATGGGCTCAAAATTTGACGATTTTCATGAAAATAGATACTTTAAATTTTAAATCCTGTTCAGAAACTTTTGGTCCGTTCTCGACCCAATTTTATTCAATTTTGGGCAGATCGTATTTTTAAAACATTTTCAGATCAAATTTTTGTCAATTTATGCTAATTTCAGATTATTTTTTAGTCAGTCACAAATAGAAATGACTTCAAAATTGTCATGAAATTTTTCCAATTTTTTGAAACAGCAATTTTATGGAGTTTTCAAAGTTCATATCTCATAATTTTAGTCAAATTTAGCTTGTTTTTTTGTTGTTTTTAGTAATTTTCGAACGATTTTCGGGCATTTTCGCCTAGTTTTCAATGTAGTTTTGTATTTCCAAATTCAACTTTTTCAAAATTTTTTGAAATTTTTCGAAACAGTAACTTTATGGAAATGCATCTTATCAATTTTCATTGGTTTCCAGTGTTTTTTCTATTAACTCTGTTCTTTTTGTACATAAAATTTGAGAATTTCCGATTTTCAGAAATGAGAAAAAAATTCTTCAAATTTCTCTTATATGAACTTTGGAATTGATCAATTCTAGCTGCAGAAATAATCTAAAATTATTATAAATTGACGAAAAATTTGATCTGAAAATGTTTCCAGAACACAAATTGCTCAAAATAGACAATAATTCGGTGGAAAACCGAGAAAAATAGGCCAAAATTATCCGAAAATTATTGAAAACTAAAAACATCAAAATTACCATAAAATTGTTGTTTCACAATTTTTTCAAAAAGGATTTTGAAGAGGTATCCCATTCATCAAAAATTATCTGTATTTTTCGAAAATAGCTTGAAATTGCCTGAAAATGACTGAAAATTAGTATTACTCATTTCCATAAAAATGATGTTTCAAAATTTTTGAAAAATTGTGATGAAATTAATTGAAAATGCTTAAAAATAAGTAGAAACAGTTTAAAATCATCAAAAACAAGGCTAAAATTGACAAAAATAAATATTTTGAAAATTCCAGAAAATTTCTGTTTCAAAGAAAGTGGAAATTTTGAAAACGTTTAATTTCCTGGATCAATGACAATCCAAATTTCCAGAAAACCGAAGAAATGACGCGAAAACTTAACGATTCAACGGATTCTGAGGGTATTTGTGCGGATATGGGCGGAGCTTCCACTTCCAGCTACCGTAATCCATCAACGTCATCTGGTCGTGGATCGATGACGTCATCGATCAATAATTCGGGTGATCGAATGTTCCTATCGACGATTTCGACACCCAGAAGACCTCCGACTCGAATTCCGGCACTCATGACCAAAAGTTTACATTATCCAAGGTGAGGCATTTTTTCAAGACGCATATCTCAAAAACTACGGTAGCTATAGGAAAATTAGAAACAGCAAAATATATGAAATTTTATGCTGAGCAATTTTGCGATTTACAATTTTTAGATAGCTGCAGTCGTTTTTGAGCTATGCGCCTTTGAAGTTAGTAGTCCTTTGAGGCAGGTCGGCCACGAGACGCAGACACCATGCAAGTTTGAAGGCACATATCTCAAAAACTAGAAAAGCTACAAATAAATTGTCAACTAAAACATGTGTGAAGTTCTAGGGCGAGCAATATTTCAGTGGACAACTTTTTGATGACTACAATAGCTTTTGAAATATGCGCCTTTAAAAAAGCAGTGCTTTGAGGCAGGTCGGCCATGAGACGCAGACATCATGCAAGTTTAAAGACGCATATCACAAAAACTGTGTGAAATTTTATGCTGAGCAGTTTTACAGTTTACAACTTTTTGCTAACTACAGTAATTTTTGAGATGTCCGCTAATCTCAAAAACTACGGTTGCTACAGAAAAGTTATTTTTTTGAAACATAGTAATTTTTAGATCCCAATCCACACCCAACCAACCGCCTGTCGGTTCCTGTGAGCAATTATGTTATCCGGAGGAGTTCGAGAATTTCAGAAGTGAATTCAGAAGACGTGACACGGAAAATCTGCTGAAGCGAAGTCAGGAGAGGAGGCAGATGAGAGCGAGTAGCTATGATCCAAGGTGAGGGGGATTCTGGACAACTCTAGATGATTATAGAAGGTTCTGGAAATTTCTAGTAGCTCCATATAATAAAATTGAATTAATAATATGAAAGCTTCTAGAAGTTTCTAGAAGCTTTTAAAGTGTCCTAGCAAGCTCCAGAAGAATTCTGGAAAGTCCCGAAAAACTCTAAAAGGTTCTTAACGATTTTAGAAGACTCTAAAAACTCCAGAATACTTCAAGAAAACTCTGAAAGGTTCTAGAAGAATCTGAAGGTTTTGAAGTTTATAAGAACATTTTCAGCACATTTTTTCCCCCTAAAAGTAATAATCCAAAAAATTTGAGATAATTACATTCTGATTTCTGAAATCGTAACTTTTAGAAGCTTCAGAAAGATTCCAGAAGGTTCAGAACTATACTAGACATTCCTGGAAGCTTGTAGGATACTCCAGCAATCTCTTTATAATTTTAGGAACCTCTCAAAACTTCTGAGAGGTTCTAGAATTTTCCAGAAGGGTCTAGAAGGTTCTAGACGACTCTAGAAACTTTCAGAAATTTCTAAAGTCTTCATGAAAACAACACATTAAAAACTTGAGAAAAAAAACACTTTTTTTTCTTGAAACCGTAATTTTTTTTGAAAAATTATTTTCATCTAAAAAAATTTGATGAAATGGATACATGGAAGTTTCTAGAAGTTTCTCGAAGCTTCTAGCTCCAGAATGATTCTGGAAGGTCCCGAAAAATTCTTAACGACTCTTCAAGATTCTAGAAACTCGAGAAGCTCCAGAAGGCTACTACAAGAAAGTGTTAGAAGTGTCTAGAAAAATCTGAGTCGAGTTTTCGAGTTTAAAAAATTGGGAATAATTATTTTTTGAGTTAGAGAAATTTCAGCAAGCGATAATATTTGGTTTTTGAAACCGTAATTTTCTTTTAATTGAAAAAAAATATCTAAAAGCTTCAGAAGGGTTCTGAAAGGTTCAGGACTATTCCAGACGTTTTTGAAAGCTTCAGAAGGCTTCTGGAACATTCTAGAAGGTTCTGGAGGATTCTACGCAATTCTAGAAGTATTCAGAAAATTCTAGGAGCTCTCAGAAGCTTTTGAAAGCTTCTGAGACATTCTCAAATTATTCACACAGTTCTAGAAACTTCAAAAGGGTTCTAGAAGAATTTGGAGAATTCTATATGACTCTCAGACTCTCTAAGCTTTTCAAAACTCCTCCAGAATCTTCTAGAATCCTTCTGAAACCTCCTACAGTTTTTTATACTTTTCTAGAATGTCTAAAGTTTTCTAGACGCTTCTAGAATCATCTAGAAGCTTTTGTAATTTCCAAAATCACTCCAAAATTTTTCAGATGCCTTCTGGCTCTCCATCCGACGTCATCTGCACGTCTATCGACTTCTGCGTCAGCTTCAATTTCCAACCAATTCCATCAGATGACGTCATCGATTCATCCAACGTCTTCATACTCACGTCTTCTTCCCAGAAGACCCCAATGGGTCAGAAGTCAGCCAGCTGGTCAAATACAGCTGGCTGAATCAACTGTCGCCATGATGAAGACGTCCACAGGATTCTATCTGGAAGATTCTGATTCTTCAGATTCTGATTTTTTGGATTCTGAAATTCCTGAAACCCCAACTAGACGGAAGAATTTGATTTCAATGAGAAAATTGAAAGAAAGGAATCGGAAAAAGTATAGGTGAGCTTTTTTTTCAATTTTTAGAATTTTAGAGTTTTAGAATTTTAGAATTTTAGAATTTTAGAATTTTAGAATTTTAGAATTTTAGAATTTTAGAATTTTAGAATTTTAGAATTTTAGAATTTTTTAGATTTTTCTGGAATTTTATAATTTTCTGGAATTTTATAATTTTCTGGAATTTTAGATTTTTCTGGAATTTTATAATTTTCTGGAATTTTATAATTTTCTGGAATTTTAGAATTTAGAATTTTCTGGAATTTTAGAATTTTAGAATTTTCTGGAATTTTAGAATTTTATATTTTTTTTCAAAATTCCAGAAACCCGATCCGACGTCTTCACTCCCATGCTCCGCCCACCACCAAATCTCCAGAATCCCAAATCGATTTTTCCGAATTTCTCTGCGTCTCTTCTCCCATATTCTATCTCCTCATCGCGTTTCTTTTCCGAATTTTACTGTTTTTCAGTGAAAATTTTTTTTGAAACAGTAATTTTTTTCTTGTCGTTGCGGGCCATTTTCCCCCATTTTCCCCATAAGAATATCAGTATTTTTACGGTTTTCCCAGTTCCTAATTATATATTTTTTGGCTTTTTATCGATCGATTAGTGCAACCCAATTTTTTTGTCTGAAATTTTCAGAGATTTCATTTTTGTGTCATTTTTAGATGTTTTTTGAATATTTCAAATAGAAAAGAATCAAAAAAAATGTAATCGGTTTTTTAAAAGTTCAACAATTGAAACAGTAAATTTTAAGAAATATATTTTATATTATAAAATTCTAAAATTCAAGATTTATTGTAGAACAAAAGACTTTTTTGAAACAGTGAAAATTTCATTAAAGGTGGGGGGACATGAAAAAAATAATGTTCTCGAAATTTCGTTTAAATATGCCCCTCGAGGAGTTGAACGTGTGGGGCGAGGATTGAGGGTGCGGCGCCGCTACCGACTGAGCCACGCGGGCAAAGAGAAAGCGGTCGCCCGATTGCATACATGAAGGCGAGGACGACAGCTGTACGCAAAGTGACATTAAGCGTTGTACACCGTCACGGTAGAATGCATACTCTAGCTACAAAAAAACTACGAAAAATCTCCTGTCCCCCCACCTTTAAAACTTTTAAATTTCTCAGAGACACAGACAACGGCCTGTTTGAAGGCGCATATCTCCAAAACTACTGTGGGCTTCAAAAAATTAAAAAAGAGCAAATGTGTGAAATTTTATGCTGAGCAATTTTGCAGTTGACGTTTTTCTGATAGCTACAGTAGTTTTTGACATATGCGTTTTTAAAGTTGACTGACTTTGACTGACAACGAGTTTTCAGTGTCTGCGAACGAGACAACTTTAAAAGCGCATATTTCAAAAACTACTGTAGCTATTTGAATAGTTAAAACTGTGAAATGTGCAAAATTTCATGTTGAGCAATTATGCAATTATCAACTATTCAATAGCTGCCGTAGTTTTTGAGTTGTGCGCCTTTAAAGTAGGCTGACCATGAATTGTTAGCGTCTGGTGGTGAGACAAGTTTAAAGACGCATACTTCAAAAACTACTGTAATTATGAAAAATGTGTCAACTGCAAAATTGCTCAGCATAAAATTTTACACATTTTACTGTTTCAAACATTTCAAAAGCTACAGTGGTTTTTGTAGATATGCGCCTTTAAAGTTGACTGGATTCTTTTTCAGCTTAAAGGTTACATCCGAAAAAGGGGCGGAGCTTTTTCGTAAAAAATTTAGAGTCACCTGTTTTCATTTTTTATTTATGATCGTAATTTTCTTTTGAGAAATAGTGGATGTTGGGGAAAAGGGGCGGAGCCTATTTATTCATATAATTTCATTGAGTTTCCGGCTTTTCACAGCTCAAAAACTCCAGTAAAATAGTCATAATGGGGCCAATTTTTCTCTCCATTTCATCATAATCATTATAACTCTATTTCTCTAATTCTCTTTTTCTCTCTTGCCAAAATTTATCTATTACTGATAATGATTCATCAGACAAACATCACTTTTTTATTTATTTTTCTGTTTTTCGCATTTTCCCAAAATTGGTAAACTCCGGAAATTCGAATTTCCGCCATTTTTTCTGATTTTAAAAACAGTGATTTTCTTTTTTTTGCATTTTTGACACTACGCTGACACAGACTACAAAATGAACACTATTTGCTCAATCACACTTTTCTTTCTGCTTCTCTGCGTCTCTCGTTTTTCCACACTCTCTCTTCAATTTTCGATATTTACTTTTGCATTGTATAGAAGAGATGAGTTTTCTTTCTGCCAAGTTTTTCGGAATTTTTTTCTTGAGCTAATTTTTTTTTTTAAATTACTGTTTCAAATTTTTAAAAAGGTTTTTTCAGTAGATTTTTTAAATATTCTCACTAGATTTTTAACTTTATCTAGAATTGCTATAAAAGTTTTTTATTCGTTTTTTTTAAAATAAAAATTAAATACCGTAAAACCTGTATTTGAAGGGGCGGTCTTTCTATTGTTCCAAGGTACCTCCGGAGGGCCCTTCTATTTTTTTAGCCAGTTTTTTCCGAAATTTTGCATCGAACGAAAGTCGGTTAAACTATTGAAATTTTTAGTTTTTTTTTCACTTTTTCGCTGAAATATACCGTAAAAACTCTATTAGATAGCCATGACACTCTATTGTTCGAAGGTAGTCTGGGGTGGCATTTTATTAGAGGCTGGCACTTTATTGTTCGGAGCTAATTTCTACTGAAACTCATCACCAGAGTGCTCGATTTTCAACTCTTTCATGAAATGGCTTCCGAGGTTTTCTTGATTTTTCTGCTTATTTTTTAGAAACTTTTGGAATTTGATATTGTCCTGACACATTTTTTACAAATACAATACTTCTTTTAATCTTGAAAAAAGCTCGAAAACCAGAAAAAAGATTTTTTGTGTTATTCTTTGAATTTTACCACACTGACATCAAATCCGCAGTGGCATTATATTAGGGGCTGGCACTCTATTGTTCGGAGGTGCTCTCTAGGGTGACACTATATTAGAGGCTGGCATTCAATTAGGGGTGGCTATCTAATAGAGTTTTTACGGGCTACATTTTCGAAAATATCTGAAAACTGGGAAAGTTTAAAAATTCACTGTTTCAAAACTTTTTGTATTTTCCTTCAGATTTTCGATTTTCAATACTTCGTTTTATCCGAGCTGTGGAAATTTATTGTTGAAAAATTCGCTGTTTCAAAATTTTTCATTCAGAATTGTGATTTTCAGAATTTCAATTTTACATGACAATTACCAAACTTGTTTTCCTTTAATTTTGTAAAAAAAATCAATGTTTGGTATTTTAAAAATTTGAATCGAAAAAAAAATTAATCAAAAAAACTGAAATTTTCAGAAAATTCCTCCAATTGTAAGTTATTTTTACAGTTTTTTTTTTGAAAAATTGCTGTTTCAAAAATACCGTAAAACCTCTAATAGAACGACCCCCGGATCGTCCACTTTGAGCCTATATATCTCACTTCTTTTGAAAGATATCAAAAAGTGGTTAACTAGTAAAATGTTTATCAGGTGATCAGCAACATTTTACCAGTTAGCCATTTTTG